GAGAAACGATTCATTTTAACTATTCAATAAAGAACGTGTATTTCACTTATGAAATTATTTCTATCTTCCTATAGAGATAACATGATAAAGTTGTTGTTTTTTTCTTTTCTTTTCTATGAAATTTTGTTATGATCTAAGTATATTGAATAGATTTCATTTTTATTTGTTCTATTCATCAAATATTCTTTTTCATTAGTTTGTTTAGTCAATCAAAGAAAAAAAAAAGAAAGAATCATTTTAAAGAATTTGTAACATTCTACTGAATTCAAATGAATAATATTGTTCTTCTATTTGGATTGTTTTATTACTCTCAGTTGATGATTTCCCAACATAATAATAATAGTTCGACACTATTTCACGTTTCAATCTTTTATTTTCAATTTTCTTTTAATTGACCAATTTTCAGAGTGAATAAATGTTAGTTGTTACTGTGTAGTAAATAATTAGCTCTTGATTAGAGTTAAATTTTTCTTTGGTTTTTGATTATTCATAATCATAAAATCATTCCTATGGAATATTTAGTAATAATAATAATAATAATAATACACCGGGCGTCAACATTTAAAAAGGAAAAAAACAGGACCCTGAAATGTAACATAAAGAACACCAACCTAATCACAATTGATGAAGAATCTCAAAAAGAGGTGGAAATTTTTCACGTACCTGCAGAGCATGATTGATAGATAAGGAGGATTTTGTTGTAAATGTAAAAGCAAGGACAGCATTCCTACAATTGAAGAACATATAGAACTCAGAACAACTGTCTATTAGCTTCAAAGTCAGAATCTTCAATACGAATGTCAAGATAGTTTTATTGTTCGAGGCTGAAACTTGGAGAACTACTACAAACATCATCAAAAAAGTACAAGTATTTATAAACAAACATCTGTGTAAGATTCCTAATTTCTGTTGTCTGAATACCATCAGCAGCAGTCTACTGTGTGAGAGAACAAACCAACTTCCAGCTGAAGAGGAAATTAGGAAAAGACGATGGAAGTTGACAGGACATACATTGCGGAAATCATCAAACTGCATCGAGAAGCGATTTTTAACTTGGAATAAGAAGCAGACATCAAAAGGATGAATAGCAATTGGAAACAACTGAAAAAGAAAGCTCAGAACAGATTTGGTTACAGAATCCTATTCGGTGGCCTATAATCCACGAGTAATGACAAGTGTAAGTAACTAAGTTTAATCTATTTAAACAACCATGTACTGTGTCGAATGCAGAAATTTCACTGAACAATTACAAATTCTGACTTAACATTCACCCATTTATAAAACAATTTCAAATAGATTTCTAGACTGATTTATAACTTCTCTTCTTTTAGACAAAGTTTACGTTGGATCAGATCACTTTTTATTGACTGAGTGTTCCTAATGTCATATGTTGAGCTTGAATAACGTATTTGATAAACAGACACATTTACAATGTGTTTTGAATTATGAATAACTGTATCTCTAGCATGTACCAGTACAGAGTAAATTATTCATATTATTGATTTTCATCACTCCGTTGCATGTGCGTAATTGTAATTACATCTAAGCATCAAATCTTATGAGAGGAAGTAGTGACAATTGTGAAGTCGTTATAGTGAATTCCTCCCTCGAAACGGAAGTAAAATAATTTTCGAACAATACAAATAGTTATTTTCTGATGTAGAAAGTTACCTTGCGTTGCACCAAACAAACATAAATTAACACACCAAAATGAGTGTGAATTACTGATCGACTGACAATTGTTTTTGTTATGATTAATCACAAAATTTCACTTTATATTAATATTAAAGGGACTTTAAAGTCATTGTTGTATATGATAGTTTATACTATGAGCTAACTTTTAGGTAGAGAGCCGATGAAACTAGGAAACACTGAACAAATGCTTTGGCTGTGCATAAGACTACTCCAAAGTGCACACTCACCACTGAGCGTTCACTATGAGAACTGAAGGTCCTGGGTCCGATCTCCAGTGTAATGTTGGAAGTTCACTGTTGAGAACTCATACTGACATAAAAATAAACACACGCGTTTCTTGTGCCCTGTTGAGGCTTGTGTGATTCACTCATATCTATAGGAACAGTTGTTTGATCTAGTCCGAGTACTGATTATTTCACCGAGATTTTCTATATAGGAACAATAGCCTTCTGCTGATTGATGACGCGATAATCCACCTTTGACCAATAATGGAATGGCTGTGAGGTAACGGGCAAGATCATTTCTTAACGCCTGCTGGTCGAAGATTCTGCTATTCCACACTCACCTCCGCGACACGCAGAGTAGAACAAGAACACAGTAAACATATAACCTCTGTCGTACAGTTCAATCCTATACTTTAGTTAGCACAATAATATAGAGTTGATTCTTGACAATCGACCAACATAAATAAGAAATTATAAAACATGCATAACTACACCATCAATGGAAGATAACTAAGTGATAATTACGTAAATAAACGACTATAACTTGAGGAAGTTGAAACATACAATGATAATTTATGAGCCAAAAGAAAGCTTACAAATACCAAGAAACAATAAGCCAAACATTCAACAATCGTACAACATTTAAACAATAATTGTTCGTTAGGTAGTTTTGAGAGTTACAACCTCTGCACTATTTTCCTCCATCATAGAACAGACTAGGAAGAAATAGTTGTCCATTGCTTCATGGCTTTTAATGATTATTTTACTAAGGGTCAATCATTATCATATTACTGAAATACAAAATAACAAAGCGAAAATCAGAATAACTGTTATATTCAATGAAGATTAAACGAATGATGACTGCCAGGACTAATTCCTAGACTATTACTATACATATTCTTATTGTATAATTACAACTAGATTATATATATATATATCATGAATTTACGTTCGACTCATTCACTACTGTTAAACGTTTAACTATTCTTAATCTGTTTTCCGCAATCTCCATTACTCACAACCATCTTCTGGCTCTATCCTTGCTATATTTTAATTCATGGTGTGATGTGGTTGGGTATTTCTGTATATGAACCACGTATGTTCGAAATATACTATTCGTATAGCAGAGTCCATTAGCTGTGTTCTGGACTCAATGCTCAAGGAAAGTATCAAATAGAGGACGAATAAGAGCTCTGTGTCGACTCAAGGTTTACAGTGCTGTAGATGGGTTCTCATTAGTGTTTTTGTCATGTGATATTAGTGAGCGGCCATAAGTTATAACTAACATTTTTTAAACACTATTCTGAAGGGGATTTGGATGAAATTTAACGATTTTAATTTATTGGATTGATCTTTGTGAACCATAGAAATACCATGTAGTATAATATTAACTAATCCAGAAAAATATCTCATTCCGATAGCACGTAAACAACTTTATTAGAACCACTTGTCTCAATGAGGGTAAGAATAAAGAAGTTGTAGGTACTGAGTCAGAAAGCAAAATACAGTCAATTAAAACGGCAATGATAACAATTACAGTAATCAGTACCTTCGGTAAATTCTATTGATGTATTAAGAAGTTGAGTAAAAATGTGATGTATGTTTGCAATATACATTTAAAACAATCTAATCACACATATAACTACCAAGGGATTAATAAATCAAAACCAATAAAGGTCGAAAGAATAAAGGATTAACAAAATAAGCTATAATCCGAAACAAAAAAGGGAAAATTAACATAATATTGGGAAGAACAAGAAGTTATCATAACAAATGGATGAAAGATTAGCAGGGTAGAAACAAGGTTAAAGCAAAATGGTATACAATAGAGGGTTGAGTTTCCTAATATTCAAGGCTTTTACAAACTTAAGAATCAGACCTTGACAATTTCTACACTATACTTTAAAAGTTGTTTTAAGGTCAATCTAATGACCTAGTTCCACTGTGTTTTGCTATCTAAGATTATGGCCTCCTACTTCCTGTTTATTGAAGCGCTTAACATTAACTGACTAAGGATTGGTTGAAGTTAGACATTAACACCGTTCAATGCCGGCTCAGTGGTCTAGTGGTTAAGTGCTCGCGCGCGAAGCCAGTAGGTCCTGGGTTCGGGCCCCGCGTGGTGCGGGATCGTGGATGCGCACTGCTGAGGAGTCCCATATCAGGACGAAACGGCCGTCCAGTGCTTCCAGGTTTTCAATGGTGGTCTAGCTTCAACTGACTCATGATTTCAACCTGTGAAATTTCTAAAACTCTCCACAAAACCCATTCTGACTAAGATGTTTATTTCTAAATCTATTCTCTACATGAATTACGTTTTAAGTGAGTTTTCACAAGCCTGGAACAATTTACCATAATATTTATGTCGACAGACGAAAGTATTATGTAACACCAATTAGAAGTGGAATGCCTGAAAGCAAAAGGTTGAGAAGATTGAACTGAAAAAAACAAGAAAAGACAAAGGAATCGAGAATTGGAAGAATCAAGAAGAATGTAAAGGACAACTGATGGAAGATGTGCAAATGAAGTATTTAATCTATGGTTTTCGTATTTTACGAAGACATTCTGTAATTTTGTATTAAATTGGTTGTCCCCACTACAGTACTATTTTCCCTAATTCAGTTTTCCCCATGACCTTAGGCGTTTTTCTAATTAGTTCGCTAAATTTTATCTGTTCGAAGATCATATTTTCGTTAGTATGTATACGGAGTTATACCACTTTATTTAATTTAGCTTGGTCTACTTTAGTTATCAAGTTTTCTGATTTCTACCTCTGTTAGTTGGTCAAGTGTTGTGTACTAGTTACCCTTATGAATTTACACAACACAACCAGCTGTATTAAAGCTTGTACTGAACATCAAAATATCAAGACTTCACACTTTGTAAATAATGTACCACCATTTTTAAAAAAAAATATTAACTCTCTATTCTATATCACTTTCCTTATCTCCCGATAAATTGATGTGTATTGTTCAATAATTTTTAGAATAATTTATAGTTACAAACACAAATTTATTCTATATGAAAATAGACATTATTATTACGTAATGTACGAAGTTGTAATTATTTCAGCACCGGATTTGAAATGATCCTCTACAGAAAAAAAACCCAATCAAGTCAGTAGTAGGCAGAATAAGTCAAAATAAATCAAAAGATTGTGAATACAAATCCAACACGATCCAGGAGTAATATTTTGCCATTAAATCAATTACCATTTCTTCAAAATTTCATATGCCGAATCCAATGTTGAATCCTCCTGAAAAAGTCATAACAGGAAAAACACCAAAATATCAATAGCTAAATATTTTGCAAAGAACAGACAATTACACAAACAATTCCAAATGATACTCAATAAATAGATAGATTTATTGATCACCAAACGTGGATAACTTAGTTATTAACTTGTATACAGTGAGAATAGAGGCTTAATGCTTAAAAAATTCGCTTTAAGCAATTTAGTTCCAGATTCGAACGTACTGCAGATTTACTAAAATAATGTTCCATGGATTTCATCAGTTAGTTAAAATAGACCAATTAGATTAAATTGTCCCAATATTTAATACATTTCGCAGTTATAACGTGACAATCAAGAATAAGTATCCATTAAAAAGGTCCCGATTAAAGAAAGGACACATCAATAATGACGACCATTAAAAACGTAGACATCAATAAAGGAGAAAACAGAAAAACTCTACTTTCAACAAAATGTTCGAATTTGGAAACAATTTATTATTATCAATCCACTCATGTCATTACAAACAACTATTTTGAAGAGGAAGGTTTAGAAAATATATCTTTTCACTCACTATTGAGTATTATTTTGATATGATATTTATGCTTTCATTCATGGTTAAGATATCTATTGGGCGTTAACATTAGTATTTCATTGAGAATGGAACCATAGTGACTGATCATTTTGAAAGTATTCACTGTGTATTTGAGAAATCTTCTAATTAATACTTACATTTGATTGATGACTAAATTTTATAATAAAAACAAGATTAGCAGACAGACAATTGTTTCATCGTACAAAAATTTAACTATTATGGATTATCCTTGAAAAAGTAATGCCGCTTTTAACTTGGAATAGCTATATGTAAGAATTGTTCAGACTAATGTTTATTCTAAATGTGATATATTTTCGGACATGTATATGTAAGTACGTTTGTGTGAATACAATGTGAATAAGTCATCCGTATGTTTATAAAGAATAGAGAATTCCAGTTAACGAATAACCCGATAGTAGCTGCTACACTGACGTGGTGTTCCGGCTTACCCATCTTGATGATGTAATCGAGCTATATTAGCTAAAATATATGTTCCTGTAGGTTTTACCATGCCAGGCAGGTCACTTGGAGAACGGTAAGACTAAAAGCAGCAACTCAAGGTCTGAGGGCGAAGTCATACTGCTAACTGTAGAGGAGTTCGATAGCAGTAAGGTATTTCCCTCGGAAAACCAGCATTTGCAGCGATGCTGCCTTCACACAAGGAAGGAAGAGGTTAGAAAAGACCGACCCTAAAAATATCACACCTCACAGATTTCCGTCTCCGAAAATAAGGCCTTTTGAATAACGGAGCTAGCACGTTAAAAAATCCCAAAGAAAGACCGTGAGTGTCCGGCCTCAACCAGTTGTCCGTTGGGCTCTGCGGTCACGCTACCAGGTCGTTAAGACTAATACTAATTCACATTCTTTCTCAGGTTCATGTAAGAGCTTTAAACGTCTGAACACTATGCCAAATAGGACAACAGACTTATTTAGCTAGGACTTTAGAACCTCGTGCCATCGATGTATGCTGCGTATCCAAAATGCGCATACAGGATCCGAGTAGTGCCATTCATTTGACTTCATATCAAAATAAAGATTCATCTCAGTTCATGATTCATGTATCTGGAAGCCCTGATCCCGCCTCCTGTGGCCTACTCTCTCACTGACTGCAGCTCAGATGAGGTAAGAGATGAGTTTTACAGAAAGCTTTCTGACCTCCTCTAAAAAATTAGGCGCTCTGATGTAGTAATAGTGGCTGGTGACGTTAATGCTCAAATGGGTCTTATGGTGTCTTGAATTAAAGAACAAATAATGGCGACCGTCTGTTGCAAGTTTCCCGAGATTTTTAAGGATGGCGGTCCAGTATTAGCAGTGAGATTGACTGAGGTCTTAGGAAAAGGGTACTAGGTAAGGATAGCAAAGCAGTTGATGAAGTAGTGAAACTTTATCAGTTGAGATGGCTGGGACAAGTGTTACGTATGCCCAACCACCGACTGCCCCGACGAGCGATGTTTTATGATGTAGGAGTAGGTTGGAAGAAAGCTAGGGGTGGCCAGACCAAAACATGGCACAAATCCATGAAGTCACTGATAAGTGAACTGAGTCATGTTGGTTAGTGTAGACTACCTGGTTGGGATGAGCGAGACGATAGCAACAGATGGTAAGAGACCTTGGATGACATCGCTCAAGATCGTTTGCAACAGCGCAGGTGCATCCACTCTTTGTATTCTCTCAAATTCTAATCTTCTGAATTCTTTGTCCCTTTTTTTCTCTTTCCAAATTTATTTCACTGGATTGTACTCCTTGAATAACATCTTCAAACCCTAATCTTTCCAATTACTGCATATACCTTTACTACCTCTACCACGACTGGATTTGAATTGACAATTGTATCTCTGTGCTAATGTGGTATGGCAACTCGAACTGATGTACGTACGTACGAAGTTCTACGTTTTTGCTGACTGACCGAGAGTTAACAAATAAAATTCTAGTGATATACAACTGCCTTACAAAAGAAAATATTCGTGAAACACTTATTCAAAGATAATTATTTTAGCCTGAGGAATAAGCATCAACTGAGGGCCAATATTGAAATGATGTTCACAAACTCCATATTATCGCCTATTGTTAAGATAATATGCGTTACCAGTCTTCATTCTCTCCTAATCCAACTCATTTTCTGTGAAACGCTTTGTACTATTTGCTAATATTCAGTAGTCAATTTTATTTCTAAACTAAAGTATTTCTATATACGAATATTCGTCAAGATTAGGACGAATAGTTTGACAGAAATTGGGCACCGAGTAAAGAGAAGTCATTATATGTGAAAATTATATTTGAAATAATCTCAGCGATTGAAATTTAAATAATTCCAACTTTCCGTCCAGCTAACTTGTCTGGACTTCTTCAGGGTAATAATCAAAATCATTAAGGAAATATATAGCTTTTAACAATCATAACTATATTGTGTTACATCAATCAAATTTGGATATCGATTTTTGTAAAATAGGATACAATGAGTTAGTTAACTACAACTCATGTGAAAAAATCCAACTACATGGAAATAATTAACTGAATAACAAATTGTATGTGTGTGTGTGTATGTATGTGTGAGATTAATTATTGATGCTCTGTATTGACATGTACAAAGGTGATTCATTAACAATTTTATCAACCTTGAACTTGCACTTTTATTGATTTATTTATTCCTTCATATATAACATATCAACACAGAACATCAATAATTAATCTCAAACATACATACACACTCACACACATACAATTTGTTATTCAGTTAATTATTTCCATGTAGTTGGATTTTTTCACATGAGTTGTAGTTAACTAACTCATTGTATCCTATTTTACAAAAATCGATATCCAAATTTGATTGATGTAACACAATATAGTTATGATTGTTAAAAGCTATATATTTCCTTAATGATTTTGATTATTACCCTGAAGAAGTCCAGACAAGTTAGCTGGACGGAAAGTTGGAATTATTTAAATTTCAATCGCTGAGATTATTTCAAATATAATTTTCACTTATAATAAAGCATTACTATGTTGTTTTAAGACTTGGAGATTCGCTTGAAGGAAAAATCCCCTTTATTTCAACTCCGAATTGTGTCCACAAATTAAGATGTGTCAATTGTGATGTTTATTATATTGGAGTGTCATCTTTTGAAATCTTGATTCGAAACAAAGAACATATTAGCTACACAAAGCAATAGCAGTTCATCCCATTTTTAAAAACCATCAAATCGATATCAAAATAATACAAAAAACATTTTCCAACTACAAATAAAGGCGAGTAGCCGAAGCTTTTAATATTTCGCTTAATCCGACTGTTTTCAATAGAAAAGGCCTCACTATCCATCCAAATTGGACCATCTATCCAAACTATCATGTCTGATTCTATTCACATTTCATACTATTAGAGTACATGCAAATTAAACTCTAACCTTTATCACCACAAATGTCATATTTTTTCATTCCTTACCATACAAACACAAATATATAAACATGCCTCATATAAATCACCTGGACTGGAATGACATGACATTGACTTAGTCAAACCCGTTTTTGATTGATCACAATTTATATTCTTATTTTGTTTCTCTGTACTATTTACGCTGAGTCACGAAACGTCAGAAAAAATTCAATTTTTTTTCTCATTGGGATATTACAAGTATATTATTTTTATTTATGACAATCTAACCAATGACCAATTTATTCGAAAATATCAAGTCCATCCTTGGTAATGATACCCGCATATTTTGATTGTGTAATAATCTAAAGCATTTACATAAACTAATGACATTTACTGTATTTGTAATTTTAATTACATTCGCTGAAACCTTGTAACTGTTATTTTCAGTTTTTGTACATTACTCGAACCTATGTTTCGGCAGCTTCCATGTTTATCGGCACTTTGTCTTTGTTCGATTGTTGATAGTCATTACTGACTTAAGATACGGTTATTAATTGTGATTTACATCTTTTTCTTTTCACATATAAAATCGTTTTAACCCTAATGGATACCTTACGAGTTGAGGTTTGTAACTAATTTAGATATATTTTGCAATCATAAAACCGTTTTTTAGATCCTTGTTTTGAACCTCGATTTCACGAGTGGCTCAGCCATGTAATCAAACACTCAAATAGATTTGACACTTATGAAACAAAAAGCCTACTCAGATAAGCTAACTTGGGTGACAGACATCCTTTAGTTCAGTTCAGCTCTATTTACCTAGTCCTGGGTTAGCATTTATATTGATTAGACAGAAACGGTATTATCAAAGAGAATCTCCAAAACACCCAACAGCGTTATAATTTATTTTGTTTCCAAAATGACGGGAATCCCAATAGTCTATGTTGTCAAATAATGCATATATACTGACATAAATGTAGATTAATTGTTTAAAGCGTAAGTAGGTTACGAATATCATATCAAAATAATACTCAACAGTGAGTAAAAAGATATATTTTCTAAACCTTCCTCTTCAAAATAGTTGTTTGTAATGACATGAGTGGATTGATAATAATAAATTGTTTCCAAATTCGAACATTTCGTTGAAAGTAGCGTTTTTATAAAACGTTTTGAGAACTACGTTTTTGATTGGCTGTAGAGGCAAACGGACAAACGACTGACTAACTTTCAAACTTTTAGAAATTATGTTTTCCCTATTCTATGCTCGCCTTTGTTAATATGTACTTTTTCAATGGTCACGATTATTCATATGCCCTCTTCTTCTTAACCCCTTATTGGTGTGAACCGTTGGTGAAGTACTGGACCAAATTATGGAACCAGTGGTAATACCCAAGTATAGTGTTTGTTACGATTCAATTATTATCATTGATATAGTGTGTGTATTTCACATGGGGTAAATATGAACAGAAATATATAAAAAATGTGCAAGAAATAAGCTTACTTTGAAAAAACAGAATCGTAAATATTTTGAACCAAGATGTTGATTAGATGTTGAATAAAACACACTCATTGGAATAGCAGAAACACCCTACAATAAATCAAATAAGATTATATAACGACGAGATATTGGTTATAGAAATGAAACAGGATAACATACATTTATAGCAATCAGTGATTTATCACGGTTGGATACAGTACAAATCTACATTTGATAAAACTAATTAAGGAATAAAATACAGTTACACAAAAAGAATACTTCATGCAACACCAGCAATCAAACGACTGACTACTTTCAATACGCTAGAAGACGTGTGTGTAGTAGGAAAGAGTGAATTATAAAGGATGAAACAGCTTGGTCTACATTAATATAGAATAGAGAAAATGTAAATGACAGTGGAATCCAAAGAAACTTGTTTCGTCCTATTGGGGATCCATCAGCTGAATATATTTACATCTTACATTAAATCTTCACTTAGGGACTTGGCTTACTTTAGTTTTAAATGTAGAAATGTCAGTGTCTGTGAACGATCTTGATGGAAACACACAGACTAATAACTACAGTTCATGGTATGAGGAAAACTATTATAATTACAATTACACCTTGTATAAAACTATTATAAATAAACCATATTTCACATTAAATTTAGATAAAAACTAGTGAGATTTGTCAGACATTTTTCGTTAAAGTAGTATAAATAGATTTGTTCACTAATTAATGTATCCTCTCTCCTATAATCATCAAAACTTTTAGTGTTCTGAACTATATGTCACCCATTTTTGGCAAGAAACCTTTCAAGAGAACATTGTATATATTCAGGTAAACATTGACAAGTATTTTCATGTAAATTCTCAGATTTATTCAGTGATAAAAAGCTGAAACATATGGTGTAAATTCACTCAAAGACCCCATATAACTATTGCTGTAATCTCTCATCATAGGGATTCATATAATAATTCGTTTATCATTTTGAATCACTAACATTATATATGGAATTTTGGATATGATGTATCGTATATCTAAGCTCCTTTTCTATGAATTGTTCCACACCATTAAAGATTAATCATTTACTTGTTAGTGTAATAATTCTAACTTAATTGTAATTTACATTATTCTCATTTCCTCGATATTATCTTGAATTTTTATCGCACATTATTGTCCTCAACATAGACGTAAAACAGATGGGAAAACATATACGCTAGTGGATTAAATCTATCATGTTTTAAGTATTTTAATTCAGAGGTAAGAACAACAGGTTATTTCATTATATAGAATGTGAATTTCTACAGAGATTATGTCATCAGTTTACTTACCGAGATTTTTGTTTGATAAAAAATAATGGGGATTAGGTTGGAGACTGAAACTTTATCGTTATTATTCAGCATAAACTGTACAGTAGTCAATTTCTGTTGTTAAAGAAAGACTTAGAATACATAAATTGGACTTCATATTTCCAAAATTAATATTTGTTTATCAAATAACTTATTCTTGGTAAAGAATATCTGAAACGAGTTGAGGATGATACTTAAGTAAGTGAGGAATTAGTAATGGCATGGTGTGGAAGTCCAACTCCAACCAATCCAACATACCAAGTGACAATTTCCTCCTGTCTTTGATAGGTGTTTTCTTCACTCTCGACATGACTGAACCTCACTGGTCAGAGTGCAGTCGTGGATGTCTACAACTACGGAGTCTTATACTAGGACGAAACAGATGTCCAGTGCCTCCGGGTTTTTAATGATTTCAATAAAGTTTACTACTAGGACCAGCTTCAAATGACAAAAACCAATATAACAGGGGTATATATACATATGTGAGATTGTTGGATACAGTTCGTAAGAAGCAACTCAGTCCCCTATCAACGAACGTTATTTGAAATCTGGAAGGAACTGGTCATCCCAGGAAGATGTGAACACACATCGTTAAAACTTCATAGTCGAAGACGTTACCACTGAGGTTAGTCGGTAAACGAACGTCATTATCAGATACCAGCTAGACACTGATTGCTACATATATACTTACTTTATTTTGCATCATCCAGTTATTAAACTTGACATCATACGATAATGAGTCATTTTTATCCAATTCATTCGATGGGACATCTGAAAGGAAGGAGTACAAATGTAAAGAAAATAGAACCTGGAATAATTGGACCTTTAATAAGAACACTAGCATTATTAGAGACAATAAGTGCTGCAGGGAAAATTTTTAAAAATCATGTTAAATATATACAAAACAAGGAATTATTTAGTTTTATTTTAGGCATATAGGCATGGATACGCTAGTTTATCAGTGACAACGAAGCTCTTAGAACAAATGTGTGTTAGCTCAACTTTCTATACTACAGCAGAATGACAAAACGAAATTAACACGTGAATGAGTCGAAATAATTATGATAGAAATAATGAGAAAGAATATATAGTGGGAACATGACCCGAGAAATCACTTCACTAATTAGCGATGAGAACTTGCATGGATGCTACTGCAGAGGTCAACACCAAGGTGAAAAACTTATCCATTGATCTCTAGTTTTCAGTGGTAGTCAAAATGAAGCTGACCTGTAGGGGATATCGCCTACCAACAAAAAGTGATACTCACCAACAACTTAAAAATACGAAACAATCTGAAAGTTGAACAAGAATATATAGTGAACAAAAAACACTGACATACATGGAACTTACGCAATTTGGAGATATCTGCCACGAGGAAATATCCTCCAGTGGGTCTTACTGCTATCATTCCTATTTCATTCAATTTCTTAACCATATTTCGACCTTTCGGTTCAATCAATGCACACATCTCATTAAAATACGATTCATGTGTATTCAATAATGGTAATTCAATTTCTAAACTTCGTGCAACAGCTTCCTAGAATAGAATTCGAAATAGAATAGGAACCAGGTGAAATGAATCACGATTATAAACACAAGTCAGAGTCTACATTACAAACTCATGTTAAATGAGTCTGTAATGTAGACGCCCTCAAATGCCCTGACACGGCCGAGAGTCCGCTCTCACTCACGAAATGCTCTCACATGGCCACGTGCATACAAACACAATCAGGGAAGTCCTACTCACTGCCTTCTCGCACCATAGGTGTTGTTTACGAAATTGAGAGGACGAAAAGAGAATGTCCGAAGTTTCAACCGGGTCAATGGATACGGAGGATCCACCTAGGGGAGTTGGAAAACCCTGATTACAAACCAATGGTGTACATAGGCTCCACGATTCTAAGGAAACAAATGGCGTATGAGCCAATTATTGGTCACCGGCTACCATGGGACTGTATCTTCTTAAGTTGCGCCACTGCCTTGTGGACTAGACCTTTAGGTCAAAGGCTCCGGGTGTGGCCCCCTAAGAAAACCACCTGTTGAGGCTTGGGCACCCGGACAGTATCCCAGCCCCCACAAAAATGGAATGATTTGTGTGGCGCGTATATATTTGGTGCCTCCTTGTACAAATGTTTATGTTTCAATAAGTAAATAAATAACTCGTATTAAATGGACAATCCATAAATATCATAAGAGGACTAAACAACTGTTTTGTCCTAGCTTGGAGACTTGCAAGCAGTTCTCGTACCATACAGATAAACATGACAATGTATAGGAAGTGAGACACATACCACTCGTATCAAATAGTATTTTATGTTTATGAATAAAGATTCTGGCATTCTCGACAAATATACTGTTGCTTCATTTAACAACCGTAATACAAATTATTTTATTTAATTGACAAAAAATGAAGCCACTACCTCAGAAAAGAAACATAAATCATACTATTAAATAATGGAAATTGATATTGTAACTGAAATGTGTTTATTACTTGTAAAGGAGTTGGACATGTATACACAGTATTTTGTTGATGCAATTGCATAGCCTGTATTAAATTAGCTGGTCCAATTGTCCAACCTAATTTCCAACCGGTTACACTGAATGTTTTGCCAGCACTTCCAATAGTCAGGGTACGTGACCACATACCAGGCAAAGAGGCTATGAAAATAAACACAAGTAAGCTTGAATTTATTTCCAAAATAAAACAAGTCAACGTATAAAGTTACACAAAAGATAATTACACCGAATTTGCCTGATATACTTAAAAGCTGACGAGGAGTCACTCAAAATCAACGTTTACAGCGATTAGTGTGAATTTGAAATGGGAAATATTGGTCACCTACCTGATAAGTATGTGTGAAAGATGTCTCCTTCATGTTTTAAAATGACAGGAATTTAAAAAACATGATATATTAAAAAATCTAGAATAATTGCTAACACTGAAGTAGAGGTCATGTTTTCGTGCCACCTAAAACTCATCAGTTGAATTTACCTTCGTAACAGTGTTGATGTTCGAATCGAGAATCGATCACAATATAGATCACTACAAACACCATAAAGAAGTCGCTACTGAAACACTGAAAAACCATACCCACTAGCGTCCACCGAATGCGATGAAACTACTTCCAAGAATACTCTTGATGATAAAATTTCTAAATTCAGACAGAGTTGTACCGGGGACATAAGTCAAAAGAAACTTAACAAATGCAGCCAACAATACACAGAATTTACAATTGCTGTTTATGCATTCATGATTACAAAAAATCTTGAACTTAAATTAGTTACACAGCGGACGTTCCTAAGCACCCCTTAGATAGTAATTCAAGGTAAACAAGTACAACACTTTATATCCATGAGATATACTCAAGCAAATAACTGTTAATTTTACCCTATGATAAATGATCAGTTAACATTTAGAGTATTTTAGATTAACGATGCTTACAATATATTGGAATAATATATATACATACTTTATTCGGAATAAACAAGTGTACAAAAAGACATTGAAATAATCATTATTTGTACACAACTTCAGCACTTAATAAAACGGAGCATTGGTTAACCACGTACCGATTTTAATATGATGATTAGGCGGAAATACTAACCATTCATAAACTTCATCTGAAATACACACCAAATTATGACGAATGCATACATCCGCGATACTCTCCAATTCTTCTCTATTAAATACCTAAACGTTTGGGAGGAAAAATCATAAAACACTTGAACACAGATTGATCACATTGACTAGTGCTGCTTTTTATAGTTGCTGATCGAATTCATCCGACCAAGTGTGACCTCTAGTCTAATTGAATTAACTTCACCTAAGTCCTAACATCATATAGTTATAGACAATGCACAAGAAGTTGAAGACTTAGACTTCATTCCAGATCGTACAAAATAGCTAATTACATCCAATTTATATAGGGAAATGATATTCTTTAGTGACCCGGCATCTGACTCCATTTGGATCCTATGGATGATTGTTATTGAAACATACATATTGCCAGTACTCGCATATAATTATCGACTTAAATCACGTTGTTGAATAACGAAATTAAATAAGTCAAACGCGAAAATGGATTTTTGAACACGTATATTTTGTACAACCACTGATCGGAAAGGGAAGCAAAACAAAACTCTATTAAACCAAACGTCAACCGATATTTATAGTCAGACAAAAGTAAGTTACAAACATGTGATGAGGAAGATGAGAAATGCACACACATACGCTTACACAAAAACAGTCAAGGCTGATAAGCGAATAATTAACAAGGTCAAATGCGACTCAAGAAGAATGAATAAATTGACCTGTCCGGAAGCCAGAATAAGGTATGTGGGGTTGACATAGCAACCAACACTACGGTTCCCCCAGAAAGATCTGAAACACAGACACCTGAGCTACTCAAATAGGTCATAAGAGGAATATTTTAAAAGAGAGAAGTGACCAATTATCATGATCGTTTAATTCTTACTTTTAATTGAAAGCAGTAAAAACATGTGAACTGAAGAGGCTAACCGACACGTCAATTCAATTCACAAATACTTAGTTTACGTTAAAGTCAAATCAACTACATATTCATTATTGAGAATAGAACAATTACAACTTACTTTACCCAAAGGATTATGTGGTGTGTTTAATAGTAACACTTTAGTTTTTGAAGTAATTTTCGATTCCAATTCTTTGATATCTAATTTCCAACAATCACTGATTAATTCTTCACCATCATCTAATTGCTATATAAATTAATCATACAAGATTACTTGGAAATTAAGAGTGGGTTTTACAGAAGTAAGCAATTGGCAGATTATATAACTATCACCTTTTCTACATAACAGGAAAGTGGTTAAGAGTAAGCCAATGGTGAATATATAAATTGTTATAAAGTCACAGTGTAGATGTCAGATGAATATATCGTTAACAGTTGATAGAGTAAGTGAAATAACGGAAGAAACGCCACTGGTTCATTAAATTCTGAAAACATTTTATTCGGAAAAGCATGCCGTACTTAAAAGATAATTAGAATGTACAAGTTAGAGTTAGTATGTTGAACTTAGATTTAGAAAAAACTGTAAAATCTAATACCATCTGTCTTAAGTCCTAAACCCTAAATTACAAAGTGTAGATACTGATTCTGGTATTAAAATCTAAACTATGTTTCCTAATCTTAACTCTACATCTTAAGCACAGCCCAAATCCTAGTCAGTTGAATCATAAATCCCTTATTTACCTTTTCTGCATTCTGATCGCCTGGATATGTTAACAGCTTGCCAAGGTCATAGAAATGTTTGCTTCGGCTCGCCTTTACAATTCAGCTTTATAAGTTTTTCACTAGCTTCAAAACAATGAAATAGTAGTTTTTTGAAAAATGCATCTGTTTCAAAGCAATTCTAATCATTGTATCATGTTTTGAGAGATTCTAGAGTCTTGAGCTCGATTACTCATTTGTTTGCATGTTAACTGAAGAGTCCTTAAGCTATCGTATCTATTGATACTTAATTTTTTAAGATTATTTAACTAGTATCGGCTCGTGATGAATGCGAACTTCATATAACACTATATACATGTTTCTGTCATCATCTGCAGTTATTGTGGTAATTTCATGTTAATATCATCTTTCTGCAATCATATGGAATTGACAACTTGGACCGATGTACAGACCTCCCAGATTCTAAGTTGCTTCAAGCAGACTAAAAAATGTTGAAATTCAGTTTTAAATGTTAGATATATTGAAATGAGTTGACATTGTTATAATTTCGCTGAGTTACTTCTAATTAGTATAGAGGCTAATGGCGGACGTATGTTTCATCCTACTTGGAACTAGTCAGTTTGATATACCTCTATGCCAGGGTTGATGTTCGCTCTGAGACTTATATCCAGCCCCAATAGATTCTAATACAAACGTACAATCGTTCAATTACTATTTCACAGACACTACGTATTATTAGTCTCAAAACTTCGTATATAAATTCGCAGGCAAATTCTCACAGTTTAGTTAAATTTACTTCGACTCGAAAAATAAAACATCCAAATACGAGTTGGGTTACAATCGATGTTTTAGAGTCAATTGACTCAACAGACCACCAAACGCTGGCAGTCAAACAAGACACAGAAATAGAATGTGTAGAGTGTGCTTTGAACATACCCACCAATGTGTACATGAGTGAGTCATAAATTATTAAGTGACTGAGTTTACAATAAGAGAATAGAAAGATAACTCAGTAAGTTAAATACAAAGCGTTAACCCGACCATCCGAAACTTTTGAGTTCGATCCCTGATGAAATCGTTAATACAGACCTTTAACAAATCCTAAAACTATAACAAAGGAATTGTTTTAGTCCTTATCGATTTTCAATAAGTATTTTCAGCCGATATGGTGAAAAGTAATTTTAAGAAAATTAACTTAAATGCTACCGACCGGTCGAAGTGGTACATAAATCGGTACACCACCAGCCATTACTGTCATTGGAGTATAACAGTCAAAACTTGGATCCATAATTATCACTTCATCATCAGGATTAACTAATGCTGAAATAGCCGTAAAAAGCGAACCATAAGCACCAACGGTAATAATAACTTCGTTTAAAGGATCAATTTCTCTGTCTGGTCCAAACGAGTCTACTTGAAGACTCCCAGATTCACCATACAGTTTACGATCGCATCTTAAAAAACTTGTATACAGTTTAGATAATACATTCACTAAACGCGGATGACCCTGAAAAAAGAGAAAAATGCATATTTCAGAAAAAAACTATCAGTGAAGCATAATCGTCAACGAAATCAACGAATGAAAGGGAAGTCGGTCTCAGTAATGCAGTTGCATTCATTTTATCTTTTTGAGAATTTAAAGATGCGTTATTCCATACTTCTCATTCACTGATCTCATTTTTTCTCTTGTATAGAATTGAGATGGAGTTGAAATTTACTACTCTTATTTACTTCATAATCAGGTTAATCCACCCCCCACCAAAGCTCTCATTGTGCTAATGTGAGGTGTAACCACTAAAATCAAAATATATTTGTCAAAGCTCCTACATGAATGATCGTTTACTTCACTGATTAAATAAATACACCATCACGGTGATAAATACATCAAACTGAAACAGTTCACCATAAGTTTTAATCTAACCCGCTTGGTCAATTCAAATCACAATATGGGCACTATGATTGACGAACTCCCTCTAAACATTAGGTTTCATCATTATTATCAATATATTGAACTCTTTATTCCTAAAATTCCACTCATATCTTTTGACCTACGCTTCCTATGTTTATTTTATCAAGACTACTGATATTTTTCTAGTGTCGTTGCTTAGAAAAAATTAAAAGATTGAACAATTAATTCCATAACCACAATCACATTCTCCTTACTGTTCCTTTGTTAAAATGAAGTTTTATTATCTATCAAGTACATGTAAGAGCTATTACATAACTCCTCAACAAAGCATATCATGAAGGTAGAAATTGGGAGAACTTTATACGTAATTCAACCATTTCAATTAATGAAGATTTATAATCTCCTAATCAATACACAAATGAATGCAACTAATAATCAGTCTTAATCAGTCATCAGGCAAACCCCTTCTAAACTCTGTTTATTAATCGCTGTGTTGAATGGTTAAATATGTATAAACTTAAATACGACATCAACAATGTGTAATGCGATTCAATTTAAATATTACACAACAGATCGAGGTGTAAAAATACTTCGCAGTAGAACAAGACCTACATCTTTTTTAGGAACTAATTGGTACAAACAGATTGATTATGAAAACATGATCAAAAATCAGCAAATATCGATCCAACAATCAAAACTTACGAATTCAAATTCAGAGTTTCATTAGACTATTAAACACATTTGTCAATGAAGTCATGACATAACAGAAAAAGTATATTTCAGTAATAATTAATTTACTTACCATAGATCTAGTGTATTGATGAAGAAATGGGCTAACATCGGGTTTTCCAAGCATGGTTAAACTTTCAAGAACATGTTGTTTTGGAAGAATGTCCGGAAAACCCTATAAATTACGATCAAATTATTGCTTCAGAACAGGAATTAGAAACAATTGTTTACGTTATATATATGTATATACCAAGATCACTTAAGGATAAGGGGTATATTCAGTAATAGCATTTCAAAGTTGGCGGTTGGTTGGCTATTAGTTTACTACCTCCCCATATCATGTTGACCGGAAAGTAACACACAATCGTCTATGAAAGAAGACTAAAACAGTAAAAGGGAGAGGAAGAAACGTAACAGCACTGCTAGAATGTGTACACATTAAGCGTTAAATCTAAACATTACAACATTGAAAATCATTCTAAGAATGTTACATAGCTGGCTTTATCGAAAAATATGTGTATTTCTTACAACGATATTAATCATTTGACATATAATAGATGGGATCTGGCTAACAGTGGAATAAAGGATGTGTTTCGTCCAATATTTGACTCGTCAGCTAGATGTACTTGCATCCTGGAGTTGCTGCTAAGTCAGGGACTCGAACCCAGTACCGTTCACTTCGAACGCTATAGCATTATTCACTTGACTACTGAGTTCAGATAGCCACTGACTTACGAAACCCGGTCTCGGAATGAGCACAAACCCTGGGATGCAAGTATATCTACCTGATGAGTCCCGAATAGGACGAAACATGCATTCTGGACTCCACTGTTAGCAAAATTATATTTATCATACATTAAATTGTGCTACAATAGCTAGGTGATTCGCACAGGATGTAAATATTCCAACTCAGACTGATCAAATTACAGTCAAAATATCAACAAGGGGATAATCGAAACCATTTTACATTGAAAGAAATCTGATTAGTTTTATTTTTCAATTAACAGTAGAAGTTACCTGACCTAAATTGACCGGTTTGTATTTAGCCACTGCATGATTAATTTCCACCCTGTTCAAAATAATAAAAAATCAATACAATTACAATAAACGATTAAAATATAACTTAGATTACAAGCAAATGAAACAATAATGATAGGTACAAAAAAGCAAAGGTTTCATCGTGAATAGATAACTAGAAAAAGAGGTACTCTGAAAGTATGAAGTGTAGGAGTGTTGACTTGCAGCAGTGCACTTAGGATCAACTTCTGAGAGTTAGAGTAAAGGCCTACACTGAGAGGTAATGATGGACTAGCATAATACGCTAGGTTATAAATAGTAAGATGAAACCACAGCATTACTTCGTGAAATGATTATTAAAACAAATCATATCATGAGCTATAGACGTTCTGGTTAGAGTTCGAAATAATTGTAATCAATGTCTGGAATTCATGGATGGCATGAATTTATATCGACTGTAATACAACAACAGGATTTGTTTCCAAGACGAGTAGTTCATATTTTTCATTTTTAAATTTCATATGTTCCTTCTAAACCAGAATTCCTTTGTTCAGTTTTCGCTATCATTAGAATTAAAATTTAAACTTTATCGTTTATCATTCTATTGATTTTCCTTTGCTGTTAAGTGGGGATATATGAACTGACAGAAATTTGCACCAAATCATATGTTCTTGATGAATAACTGAGAAGCAGAGACAAGCAGATAGAACGTATAAGTCAATAGAAACATAGACATCTTCTAGACGTACAGCTCCCAACGTATCGTTGGATTCAATGAAAAGAAACGAAACGAAATGAACATCCAAGACACAAGTAGATAAAAAAAATAATAACTATGGTTGAAATAAACCGATAAAACGCGGAATAAATGCAATTGTTTTTACCTTTGAAGCATGCCACCAGTATTAGTTTTCTAAAGACTCCAAATACATCATGCTGACAAGTTACAACTAACACTAAACCTATGTCCAGGATTTTCTCTTTAATATCTCCAACTACTTAATATCTCAACACACTGTGAGCAACCACGAGTCACTAAGATCAGTGCGCACATCACAAATTTTGGTCGATCGAGTTCACTCAGCATTAAAGATTAGGCAAGCATAACGTTAGTCACTACAAAGTAATCAATTCATATACATCTTAATAGTGAATGCTCAAAGCTTTAAATCCAGGTTCATAAGTTTAAATTAGCTAACAGAGAATACACTCTTGTATTTGCACACTTTTATTGCAATTATCAAAACTCGGTCAAATATTAAGAACATGAATAAGTTGGTGAAAGTTAACGAGTTTCTTTTTAAAGCAAAGAACATTTCAAATGTCTAGTTGAATATATAGATACATACCAAATACTGGGTTTTTGCTTCAAAATACGAGCAGCTGGAAGAATCATAGCAGATCGTGTTTCATTCAGCATATCTGTACAATTCTCTTTAGCTTAATTAGAATAATAAAACAGAAAAGATATGCCATTAATAATATTACACTAATACACATAGATAGTCAATAAATTAGTACATATGATCATTAATAAACAGCTAGACAAACAATAAAGGATCAGGAAAATACTTATGCTGAATAATGTTTACAAACATCAGTAATCCAAAAGTCATATTAACTGACCACATATACATGAAAGGATAGGTGTTTACGAATTAAGACTATTATTCATTACCGAGTCAAATTCGTGTTTTGCATAATCTCAGTAGGTTTTTGATCACTGCAACTGTCATTTTGTAGTTGCTCGAGACGAATCTTCGGAAATCAAAATTGTTTACGATAAATATACCTAAGTTTCTCAGTCGACATATAATTAGTCGTTAACAGGTTTGCTAATTGCATGTTGTTACAAACTTATCAACTTGGATAAACGCACTGTGATGTTTATGACTTCTCTTATTGAAATTAAAGGTCGATGTTGGTTGATACTAATCACAAGCTACAGCGATTATTTTGCTCAACAGCTGGCAATGAGAGTTGATCAAACTCATATTTTGTAAGAACAGATAACACAGCCATTCAAGCTATTTCACTACGAAAAAATGCAGCCTTCGTTGTTTTTTATACATTCCTTTTAACTTTTCCTATTTCACCCAACTATTCTTTTCTAGACATAGCTCGCTCTTTGTAGAATCGAAAATCCCAAGCATTCTATTAGTTGCCTTGTACCACAGTTCAAATTTATTAATGATAATTTCGGGTGGTGATCCGTCCAATGTCGATTGGCTTTTTACTAATATATCAACAATCGTACAAATTTGTTACAACCAGTTTTCTTCCTTCCACATAGATTATTAAAAAGAGAATAGTATAAGCTTACGAAAATATTAATTTGCTTAATAGACTTGTTAGTTGTGAAAAATAAAACTACACAGTAGACTGAATCATCCATCGTTTTGTGTTTTCTGCAAATTATGAGTGCAACCTTTCTTATATTGATAAACTAAACACGATCTTGAAAGGTGACCTAGTTTCTTTTGAAAATTTTTGTCACGTAACAGGCATCGAGAATTTCAACCAACTGGTTTAAATTAAACAACTCAGAAATAATTTAATATATAAAAGATGAAATGTGGCTATCAGTGCAATCTAGAAAGAGTGTGTCATCCTAGTTGGGAACTGTTAGATCAATGTACCTGCATCTCAAAGTGGAATTCGAGTCCCGGGACATCAACTCTGGGATACAGGTACACTCATTTGACGAGTAAAAAGTAAGGCAAAAACGCATCCTGGATCCTATTCCTAGTCACATTGCATTTACTCTATATTAACTTGTGTCACTATAGCTATGTCGAGGAAATTCGCACAGAATGCACATGTGCCAATTAAAACTGGTCAAATGTCAGTCAAAATATCCACAGGATAATCCAAATCACCTCAAATGTAATCAGAAATAACCGTAGTTACGATCTTAAAATCCGAATCAGAGAGAAGATAGCTGCTTAAGAAAATCAGAAATGTTCTAAAGAACTAAAACATGAATGAAAATCAGTTCGTGCCTAAGTTTTATACAGCTATGCTTCAATATTTCTGGAAGTATAGGCACTACATGGTTGATAAAAATGACAGAACCAACTGGTTTAGTTGAAAATTCGAAATTCCATACTGTTGTCCAGTTATTCGTTATGAGTGAGGATCTAACCTTCTATCATTCCATTTAATAGAAATAATTAAATCAAGTTTGAAGCAGGGCAGAGTTTCGTATCAGCCTAGTTCGTTCTTCTGGCTCTAGAAAAGGCGGTAAGGATAAATCGATGGGTAGATGCATTAACTGATAAATCAACAACTTGAGATAATAAAAGCAATTAACATGTCATAATCAACAATAACATTCGTACCTGCCCATTCACTAATGAACAATGCACTTTTTCGATCAAGCAGTCAGTTGGGGGGTTAGTGCGTAGCATACCGTGTATCAGTATCAGATTTCGGATACCGCACGTGCCCTTAGAATTTATCATTAAGGTTAAAGGAAGAAAAACTACAGACGGCGGTCCATATTATAATTTATCATGGTAATTCGATTGTCAATCTCAAAAGTATTACATTCCGAATAATAAAAGAAATAATATGTAGATTATTAAGAAAGAAATGATGACTTTTTGCTCAACATACAAATAAATCGAAGTCTTTCTCGAACACGTTCACAATGTCTAAATGATATTCCTTCATGAAAGCAATAAATAGAATGATTTGTAAATACGATTTAGCGGTACCATAGATGAGTGGAGAAAATAACCAATACACACACACATTCACAAACATGTCGAATCAAAACAGTTTGAGCACTGAACAAAACAAGGAAACGGCTGAAATAAATGAAATATTAAAAATAAACAATTCTTTTAGAGTTTTTATTGAAATTTCAAATATTTATTAACCATGAGGTGTGGATTAATACCAGGAATATGACCAACATATACAAACACATTATAAATTCAGTAGAAAATACTATTTACAAAGAAAATGCACGAGAATAATAATAATAATAATAATAAGAGTATATTTAAATTGAGTAGAAAAGCAACTGATAATTATAAACAAAATAGAGTATACAGGATTCTTATTGTCAGTTTACTACTATTGCTATTATTACTACTGGATGTTATCATATCGACAATGAAAGCCCAATACTGATTTGTAGAAATACAAATACAAGCGAACAAATGATGGTTCCGTTGATGAGTATACATAAAAAAGATAGTTTATTATTGTTACTTGACTCTTTTCATTCTCTTGTGAGATTTTTCTTTCATATGTTTTTTGTGCTTCTTATGAACTGATGATGTTGAAGGTGAACGATTCAAAGAAGATCTCCTGCTACCACTACTATAATGCTTATTTCTTTTAGATTTTCTATGACTGTGATATTCAGATAGACGGGAATTTTTATAATTATTTTTAGACCGAGATGAATGATGATGCCCTACTGGAGAAGAGGACCGTGAATGTGAAGAGATTGAGCTAGAGGATTGTCTTCGCGTTTTACGTCGATCATGATGGTGGTGATGGGTAAGAGATGAAGAGTCGTTGGAAAGTGATCTAAAATGCAGAAATGTAAACACAAATTAGAAGTTGAATGAAAAGTGCTTGATATCTCCAGTTAATAATTGGTAACAGCTTGACAATTCACAAAGATACTTAACACTTAATATCATTGAAATTTCACGTCCTCCATTCCACCACGTTTAAATCCACCTAAACAAAAAATTCTCCATAAGTGTCAACAACAAATCAAGTAATTTTGACAGTGTAATAAGAAGACAAAGATTATCAGAACTGTGACATATTAGCGCAATACATTTCGAACAATCTGATCACATATATACTTGTTAAGAACATTTATATATAAAAATAAAAGGTCAACTAGACTAGAAATGAAGGGCAAGAGGAGATAATGATAATATTAGCTTATTATCCAGAGTGATGAGGCTTCAAGATGTTTTCACATTATTTCTTTATTATCCTTGTCTCCTCTTACCCTTCATTTCTAGTCTAGTTGACCTTCTATTTTTATATATAAATGTTCTTAACAAGTATATGTGTGATCAAATTGTTAGAAATGTATTGCGCTAATATATAACATAGTTCTGATAATCGTCTTCTTATTACACTGTCGAAATTTATCAAACGGACTAATCCCTAATAGCGTTTCGGCATAAATCTAAATCCTAACCCGTACCATCAACTATAAATCATAATCCTTATTCTTCACACTGCTTTATAACCCTCATTTATCTCTAGTTAGTGGGTGGATATTCTCAAGGTCACTTTGGCATTGCCCAAAGGTCGTCCATAAATTATGGTCTCACCTTGACTTTTTTATGGAACATAAATTTACCCTGAAAATCTCGTTGTAGTGAACGAGAACACCAGTGAGGATAGCCAAATGAATTTTAATACGACGTTACAGAATATCTTAGTAAAATCTGAGAATCGTATAGTAAATACTTCATTTGCAAAATATCTATCAATTGTCTCATACTTTGCTATTCTTTCGTTTCCAATCACTCATTGTTCTCGTTCTCTTCTCTTCTATTTTTTCAAACTTATGCCTCCAGGTATTCCACTTTCGACTGGTGATACATACTAGTTATATCTGTCGACATCAGTGGCACATACCACACTGTCTTCTCTACTAGCCATGTGGATTATCAACGTTGAGGCGTTGTTATGTATTAGACATCTGGTCTGTTCGAATTACCATCAGTTGGGTTATATTAGAAGAATATTCAAACTTATGTAAACAGAATTTACCGTCGACCAAATATCGATATTTCACATACAGAATAGATATGTCTGATATAATGATTAGCAAGCATAGAAAGCATAACAGTATTAACACCAATTTTCATAAGCTTAAAACATGATGTATATCGATTCAATTATCAATATTGACCACAAGCAATCAACACGTAAATTAAAATAAATAAGCACCGAATGCACTTTCTTATAGTCACTCTTACCGATAATATTTACAGTGGAAATTAAACGACTATTTATAAAAATTATTTATTGTTGGATTGGGAGTGAGCAATATGGCTATAGCAAATTCCATATTTTGATAATTTTTGAGAAATAAGGAATTTTCAAAGTGTTATGATTTCGTGACAAACAAATGTAAAGTTGGACCATATTAACTAGTAATCATTCAAAAATAAGCTTACTTTACTGTAGAAGAACGTCCACGATCACTGTGACCATTATTATCCACCGGACTAATAAGTCGACCTACATGACGCCATAAAGTTTTTTGTAAATCATTACTGGTTTCTCCAGGGTTAAGAAATACATGTAGAAAATTACAATGGAGGTCTCCTTTAGGACATTTACCTCGATGATAAAGACCTGAACAAATAAGTAAAGATAAGACTGATATTTATCACTGAATGAAGAGGATAGGTTTTGTTGTTGTGATATAAACGGAGAAATGAAACTATCAAAAGGTGATACTACAATGTTGTTATAAACAACGCTTCACGAAACGAATGATTAACACCCCAATATCTGATTGTATACAGATAAAAACTAGGGGAAAATGTTGGGCAGATTTCACTCGATTGATAGTACTAGACATTACACAAACCTAATATGTATGTGTTAACGCAACAGTTGATCCAAAGGTACGATCATTACAATTAGTTGCCAACATTTGCTCTTCTTACTCTGAAATGATTATGAAGTATAGAACAACTGGTTGAGGAACAACAAGCATAAACTACACGACTTTGAACTATTTTCAATTGTTAAGACCAAATATACGGAGATCTTCAAAAAGAATTTAGTTACACAAGTATTTAATTAATAACAGTGCGAAGTCAATCAGTAGCCATAAAAACAATTTCGGAGGCAGACACCAAAAGAATGAATAGCACTTGGTGACAACTGGAGAGGAGAGCCAAGGATAGAGTAGGCTAGACATCCCTAATTAAAGGCCTATACCCCACGAGGAGTAACAGGCATCAGTAAGCACATATATTACACACTGAAACTATTTACACTGAATAGCCCACCTATTCTGAATACGCTTGGTTTATTTCGTTAATTCCTAATGCATGTGTTGTTCTCTAATTAATAGTACGTGTCGTAATTTCGTCCTTTAGAGGACAAACCTCACTTTTGACTGTTTTCCTGAATGCGTAACCGGTATCTGGACACCACACATTTTGCGGTCAGTTAACTTCATTGGTTGTTCTCATACAACCACCCTTTCTATATTTTGCAATAAATTCCCCTAAGTATCCATTTTTCTTGAGGTTCTCTAAAAGGAAGGCTAATTCGTCATTTATTCTGTTGTTTGGACAAAGCACCCTATCTTCATAAAACAGCATTTTAACCAGAAGTCGTTCGCAACTTGAAGGAATAAACTCATTTTATTCTGCAAACCTTGGTGTTCTTGTGCTGCCTAAACTTACTGGTTAAGTTGTTTTTCCTAATAGTACCGTTTCCAAAAAAAATCCTGTATTTTGATATCGAGAACTTCAAGTATTATTTATCTGCTTGATCATAATCTTGGAGGGAATTCTATACTTAGCATGATAATAAAATAGGTATATGAAAGAATATGGAAAAGGAAACTGTTTAACCAACCACAAATAGCCTCTCTCCAACCACCGCCCAATCTAACCACAGTACACGTTAGTTGACGTCCAGCAAACCAACGACCATTGCAAGCTTCAGCAGCATCCCATGCTGCACTTGGACCCCTTGAGAATTCAACATAAACTGCACCACGAAGATGATCAGCTAAATTGCGACATGTTCGAATCACTGAAATTTTGCCCCATCTAGATTCTAATTCCATACGAACATCATGGTAGAATTCATGATAATCTGAGAGTAACTGACTTTCATCTACTTCAAGAGCAGAATCTGAAATTTTATTATTTAAAAATAAATTAGTCCGTAATGTGCATTAAACCTAAAACCTATAATGCTATTTCTTATTAATGAATGACTAAAATCAGATCTAGTTTCTGGCAGCTTAGTAATCAAAATACTTGACTTTCAATCACAACAGGTTGTAGGTTCGAACCCTTCCCCACCTAATTAGATTTAGACAGTTGAATAATGGTATTAACCTTTAAACAAACAGTATACCTTAAAGTTGATCATATAAGTCTGTATTCGATAAATGAGTTAAATTATCTGTATTATTCATAAATTCCGCCTAAACACTATATTTGTTAACTAAATTATTTTACCATTAAAATAAAACTATTCGTTGAAAGTACCGACCACTGAAAGAGTATAATCTACCCGGCCTACTTACAAATTACCATTTATTTTGTAAACATTTCACAGAATGCAAACCATTGATGATGCACTACAACATGCTGGATCGTTAATAGTCCTATGCATATTTAACTATTTATCATATATGGCGTAATCCTAATATAAATTAATGTATACAAACAGCAAGATACACTCAATATAGGAATTATGAAGATTGTGGAGCCCTTTTGAGATCACGAATCGACCAAAGTCAAAAAACTGTTGGAAATATAGAAGTACTAGATAGACCTATCGTCCTCGAACTCCCCAACAATGAGCATCCACGAATCTGTCGTAGAGGACAAAACCAACGACCTTCAGTCTTGTGTGCAAACGAGTAAATCCGACATTTTTTAACAGAGAAAAATTTGCCTTCAGTAGGCAATAAAATCACAAACCTTGATCCTCTGAACCAGTATTTTTTGTTAAATCTAAATGATAGTGTGTGAACATTTTAGGAATTTGTAAAACTAAACAAGAATTATCTATTGGTTCGTCTAAGCCACCAACATCTTGATCGTCAGCAATATTGAACGATTCAATAGTATCGTCATATGGACTTGGATATTGATGAAGACGAGAACAACTACAATGAATGAGTGAAGAGAGGAAAAAACAAAGTATATCCTTGGCATTGGTTTGTAACAACTTGAATGAGTAATATAAATAAACATAAACGAATAGTAAACAATATGCTCAATATTAGAGGAAAAGAACCAACAAATGTGTTGCAAGAGAGATCGATATTCTGAAGGTGATAGAAAACAAATATTTGATAACATAGTAAATGAAATATGGCTAGCAATAGAGTCCAGATTGAGAGTTTCATCCTATCTAGGATTCGACAGTTGGGTGAACATGTTGATATTCTGAATGCTAAGAGAACACATAATTTCATTCCTTTATTATCTATCATAATCATTCAAAAAAAGATGTGATGAAGACTATTAACACATTTATTTCCGCCCATCTAGTCCAATACGCACTATTTAATCCTTTTCAATAATCTGCCATGTTAACAGTAATCTGTTGAGAACGGATAAACGCTAAATTTAGTAAATAGCAACAGCAAAATCTTTGATAACTTTTTTAAACAAAGTTCTGCAACCAAAAAGAGGCATGTACAAATAATTTCTTTAGGATGGCGAGCCTCTAACATTCATTTAAAATATAACCATCCCTTTAGTAAGAGGATGTCATCACACGCGTAGTGTATACGAGGTATATGTTACTTATGCTTGTCGACATAAGTAGTATATAACACCAACCAGAAGTAGAAGTCCTGGCAACAGTAGGTTGGAAAGATCGAATAAAAAAGAATGGAGACAGAGAGTAATTGTTATGTTAATGAATGAATGAATGATGGAGTTTGAGACATTTGATGCAGGATTTGCAAATGAAGTACTGGACGCATAGTTCTTACAGTTTACCAAGAACATTTGGTTGTCCTCATCTGTGTTCTCGCTCATTACATATATACCTTCTTCCCCTTTTGATAAATCAGGATAAGTTGAGTTCACGCTTTATCCAACTCGGTGTAACATTTTATGACGTTTTGTTTTCAGTGTGACATTTTATTCATTATGATATTGGGGTTATATTTTCCAGTATAATATTGCTTCAGGTAGTTATATTTGAAACAGTTAGTTATAAATTCCGTTCAATATGACAGGGGTGATCTTCCGTCCACTGTGACAGTTATATTCTGTATCATTCTGAGTGAACGTCGTGGTTTAAAACAATCTTTTGCCCCTAAATGCCCTGGTACGGCCGAGAGGGGGAAGAGCCAGCTCTCCCTCTCGAAACGCTCCCACATGGCCACGTGCATACAAACACAATCAGGGAAGTCCTACTCACTGCCTTCTCGCACCATAGGTGTTGTTTACGAAATTGAGATTACGGAAAGAGAATGTCCGGAGCTTCAACCGGGTCGGTGGATACGGAGGATCCACCTAGGGGAGTTGGAAAACCCTGATTATAAACCAATGGTGTACATGGGCTCCACGATTCTAAGGACACAAATGGCGTATGAACCAATTATTGGTCACCGGCTACCATGGGACTGTATCTTCTTAAGTTGCTCCATTGCCTTGTGGATTAAACCTTAAGGTCGGTTTGGGCACCCGGACAATATTCCAGCCCTCACATAAATCGAATGATTCATGTGGCGCACATGTATTTGGTGCCTCCTTGTACCAATGTTTATGTGTTTAAATAAAATAAAATAAATTTTATTGATATGATGTTCATTAGCTTATCATCAAGCGAGTAAAATCAGAATATAAATGAATGTATTTGGCTTAATGAAGTCATGTCTTCAGAGATTCAATAAATCTTCATTGTACCAGTCTTTTTTATTCTTACTTTGCGTAGTGTGAATTACAGTGGTTTTCTTTTCCAAGAATAAACAGAACCGCGAATACAACAGAAGTGACACGGCGATATCACCTTATGTTTCCTGAACTTGAATTCCCCTGATTTAATTACTCTGTTATTACACCCTTGAAATAGTTAACTCATTTTATTTTCTATTAGCATGGGGATTTGTGGAGATTGTAGCATTCTTACAGTTGAAATCATGAGTCGATCTCAGATAGACCGTCATTGAAAACCCGGAAGAACTTGACGGCCATTTTGTCTTAGTATGGGACTCCACAGCAGTGCACATTCACAATCCCACACGAGAAACCCGAACACAGAACCTTCGGTTTGGCGCGCGAACGCTTAACCCCTAGACCACTGAGCCGACATCCAGAAGTGTCAATGTCTAACTTTAATCAATCTATGATCTTGCCTAACCCTTCATCCTAATTCATACATAAGATAATCTCTGATCACAAAATCTGGACTGGTTATCCAATAATATTAATATTCTCCTCACATGACGGCACGTACAACCTGATTCAAGCACATGTTCTCCACTAGTCATTTGAATATTAAAAAAACAATAAAATGTTTATTTTAGTGAAGTAAAAATTCTTATTTAGATATTCGTTTTTCCTAAAAAAAAAAAAGATGAATAGAGAGAAGCAATGCTTTTTTGCAATTAGTATAGTGATACGTGGTGTCCGAGAGTTGATATTGAAACGCAATCTTCCTATGCAAGAGTCAAATCGGGTAGTCAAATGAAAGGACTGAAAGTGAGAAAGTTTATTGACTAACGCAATCAGTCTTTATATACACGCATATGTGGTCCACCAGCAGTACATTTCATTCCTAGTAAATGTAAGCTATTTCTTGGACGAAATAACGTACATTTATCATTCGACTGACTACTGACCGACTTAATGCATCGATTAGCCTTTCATTATGGCCATATATAAACGTCTTACAAGCATAACAAAATCAGTATCAATCAAGCGATGATGTGTTCGATTATTATTATTAAAAAAATCAAAACTATTCATGAAAATGACGATAGTGTACTATGAATAGAGATATACCACGGACTACAAGTCACGCATAAACAGATGTCACTCACAGAAAACCATATCGACATGCTCCTGTTTTACGGAAAAAGCTACATTTTTCCATCACTGTAGAAACAGTGGGACCATATGGCACTTGCTCAATTACTGGAGGGATAGGTACGGGTGGTGGGGGAAGATGCCAAGGTGGAAGGTCTGGAGACTGCTGTTCATGAACATCCTAAGAAAAGAAACCAATATTTCTATGAATGCGTAAAAGTTAGGTAATCAACATGATGTATAAACATCTCACACTAAGTATCATGCTTAGATTTGCAAGTACACATCACAATATTGTATGTTTTCATTCATGACGTCGAGTTGATTTCTTCGCTCCCGGTAGCTTATCAACCTCAAACTATTCGTTCAGAAAGACGATATTTGCTAAGGTAATTGTTACAAAATAACTCACAAAGTACTATTGTGACTAGTACTAAACGAGAATCTGATGATAAAATAATAAAAATTTTATTTCTGAAATTGTACGAGAAATAAGTAGTGTATAATAGTTATATAACTGTTCATGTTATGGATTTTCTAGAAATCTTGATCAAACCAAACAAGATTAATTGAAAATATCGTGATGTCATGTTCAGTGCAAATTTAGGAACTAGGATCTCTTTACAGGTTATTCTAAAGATGACTACAAGAACAACATAAAAATATTTTGTTATTAACTATGACAACAAAGTAATAATATATCCGTCTGATCAATATAACGAAATATTATCAAAGGATACTTAGAAAAAAGCTTCGTGTTCAACAAAATACAAAGTAACTAATAAGTTCTGTATCGGAATCCACGTACTTTATTTATCAGTGAATATTTAATGATGATAGTAACTCAATGTAACAGTTGGAGCATAGTTGAACTTTACTCCAAACCCCGGGACGTACAGCCTCCAACCAGAACCAGTCGAACCCATTTGGATTACAAATTTTATTATTCGAATTATTAATATGTTTATCCAATAAAACAAATACTTCCCTTTATTCATGACTAAGGTTGTATGTTAAGAAAAGTTTTCGGTAACAAGACAAACACCAAAAGCTATATATATATATATATATATATATATATATATATATATATATATATATATATATATTAAAGTATACATGGAAACAACCTTTCTAGCCATTTTTATCACGGGTGCTCACTTTACAACAGTCATTTTATTCCTGAGATCAATAAAAGTGTGTCTGCTCTCCTCATTTTAGTACTGGCATTTCAAAGTCACGAGTGTTCAGGTGTACGGTTGTCACTAGTAAATTGAATCGGATCCTAACCAGAGAAAGCCTTAAAACACTAAGGTAATTGAGTGTTAAGAAAACTTGTATTAGATAATACTAACCTAAATTCATGTCTCGATTGACAATCTGTTATCGTAAAATAGTTATCACCCAGAAAATAAAATCTTCCCAAACAATAGAGTCATATCAAGCTCACAGAGTAATATTATGCAATTGTGAAGTGACAGTTGACACTAACATTGGAATTTTCAGAACACATGACTAATTTCTTAATCAGTTGAAGTTTAAAAGCAGAGAAATACGATTTTATATAAAGGCAATCCACTAACTATCAGTCTTGGATAAATAATATGAACAATTTATGGATAAACTCATTTCAAGTAAAATACACATTGTTAGCATTTTCCATGGAAAATGCAAGTTTCACTAAGTTCATATTTAGAAAAAAAACACCTGCTTGACTGATAAAAATAACAAAGCAATTATGATATTTCATCATCATGAAACAATGAGAGAGGATACGTTAATATTCTTGTGAATAAAAAAGAATGATAACCATAAGAACTCCATGGAAAACCTGTGTTTTTGACTCAGGAATAAATTTCTTGGATTCCATTTGTTTGCTTTCCCACTCTGCTTTAATTTTACGCTAGAAAGAAAAAAAAGCAATCTACTATATAGCAAACAAATATATTGGTAAACTAATAAATTGACACAATCACATTTTTATTAAAATAATTATTATCAATGCATGCTTCGTATTGAAAGGAGTTAACTTTAACTCAAGCATTCGTTTAGTACATATCACTAGATCTCACAGGAAATGTATGGCTAAAACCAAAGTATATTAATTAGATTACCGTTTTCGTCGAACAACAAATAGGTTGTTAGACGCACTTCTGAGTAGCACACACTAACCAGTACCAACTCTGACGATAAAAGATACAACCAAACTCTATCAAAAATGATCAGCTCTAATAAAAAGAAACGACAGTAATTTACATTTTCTTCAATTGACTAACTATTACTGCATAATGATGTTCGCCAAAATCAGATTATGGGCTCTTGTAGAAGTGGGGACTTGGGAGATTTTTACATAACACACATATATCCCTTTGTTACATGCAAGGGGATCGAGATGAAGAATCGATTTATGATAACTGACAGAAAGCCGAAAACACTGTAACGATTTTTTAACTAACACAACTCATTTCAAGTCGTGATAATCCCAAATAGAAGCAATATGAAATAAATGTACCATGAGGAGCTACTAGTGATGTGCTATATTTTACACAGAACCAAAGAACCGTTCAATACCAGCACAAATCACACGAAATGAGGTCTTAATAGTAGTAAGTCAGACATAAACAAGGTAATTTCGGGTATTGTTGGAGGGCGGTTGCCAAGTTCCAAGTGCAGTGGAAGTATATTCTTTCTCGAGAAACCTGAAAATGAAACTGGATTAGAAGTGACCACAGAGCACAGTGAGAAACTGCTTGGGGCCGGTCACACATGACCATTTTGTGAGTCAGCTCCGTCACTTCAAGAGGTCTTACTTTCAGACACGGAAATCCGTAGGATAAGGTGGGGTGCAACATTTTCGAGGTTGGCCATTTCTAACCCTTTCCTTCCTTCGTGAGAAGGCAGAATCGCTGCAGATGCTGGGTGTCATACCTCTGTACAATCAGCAATACTACTTTGCCCGTGAACCTTAAGTTCCCGTTTTTACTCTTACCTTCAACTAACCTCCCTGGTATGGAACGGCTTAAAGGAACAATCGTTTCAACCATTATAACTCGATTTGGTCATTACAATGGGCAAACATGGCCATCATGTCACGGTAGCAGCTATGGTCAGGATAATAATAAGCAGTCTATAAACTACTAAAATTATTAATTACCATACGCTAAATCAATTTACCCAAACTTTACGAGTCGATAAATTAGTTTCTGTTCCTGCCTAGAATAACAAGAAACCGTTTATCCACAAAACACCATAATTTCGACTATGAATAACATACGACGAAACATAATTTATTGATTATATTGGAACGATTACAAGTAGTAAAACTTTTTCCAAGGTAACACGATAATCACTCACTCAATATAATAGTTTTCTTGAAAGGAGAACTAGATTTGGATCTCCTAGTCACTTACGACGTATTCAACAGATTGCTATAAAAAGTTTTATTTTCAGAATACTGACGGTGAATTGATTAACTACGTTAAAGTCCGCGGTAAAGCTTTCCATAAGAAGTGATAAAAGCGCATAAAATCAGAGACGCCTGAACTGAAAGATTGGTCCGTTCTGAATATGACTTACAAATTTCAGTTAAACTAGTTTGATAAAGATAAGGAATTAAAACTTTTTCCAAAACAAATAGATGCTTTTTAGTGAAGCTACAAGTAATTAAAAGTCCCTGACATACATTTAAAGTTTAAATGGAACGATAGCTCGAGTGGGAAGGCATAACTAAGATCGTTCATGTCCAGTTAAGTAAGAGGGTACAATTAATTTTCATTCTAAACTAATAAAACTGATTTATAACTAACATTTAATGTTAATTACAATGTGGCTAACAAATGTTAGATTATTCTTGTGATAAAAAGTGAAATTCATTAACATACAGATTCATGGATATGTTGTGACCTAGGCTTTAAATACTACTTGGCTGTCTGAATATACTTGAGGTACGGTGCAAATAACAATTTGCTGAAGGTGATTTTAACTCAGCTTACTCCAGCAATAAATGAAAGGTTTAACGACTAACCAATTAGCTTAAAAAAGAAGTCTCACCAACCCTGATGAGCTGATGGATAACAAAATCTCAGCATGGATAAAAAATGCCTGTGGGATTTAGCCATCTGAGACTCCCAACTGGGATAAACGAAATTATAATGTCATTGAAATCATGAACCGATTAATGTTAGACCACCACTAAAACCTGAAAGAACTGGACGGCTGTTTCGTTTTAGTATGGGACTTCTCAGCACTGCGTACCCACGACCCTGCACGCGGAAATCGAACGCAGGACCTCAGATGTTGCATACGGACGCTTAACCTCTAGACTACTGAGCCGCCATTCAAACCAGTTAATGTCTGACTGTGAACAATAATCTTCTGAGGTGGTCGTACGTACACATAATCATAGGCTACCCAAACGTATAATGCTGACCGACAAAATAGTAGATCGTAAAACTGTAATGGGTGGTGCGAATAAGACACTGACTCATCGACTGACAGACAACTGTGATGTGGTGTGGATGTCTAGGTTAGGATTCACAAGATAATTGTAATCTACAATTGTAAAACGCAGTTAGCATCGCTCAAAACTAACTTCAGCGACATAGGAGTATTCTATTTGTTAATTTCCTTTAAATGCTGAGCATATTATAATCGCAAACTCTTCATTTATTTGTTTTGAGATCTATACCAAAACCTTGTCCAATCGATCTGAAGTATAACACTAGACTAACAGTGCAAAACATGGAAATAAAATAATTATGGTCATAATATACATCTAGCCTAACCAAATAAGAGTTGAAATGATGAATACATAATTTTTGAAGGCCAATCTCTTAACATTTTAGCATCTATTATATACATGAACGCTGAAATATATATGTACTTGTATTAAGATAATTTAACAATTTGAATATATTATGAAAATATAGAAATAAGTCACAATAATGGTAGATTTCAGATATTATATACACTAGCGAGTCATAAAAAAGAGCTATTAATAAAAGTCGATATGATTATACCTGAGCCTCCTCCTCGTGTTGCTTTAAGAGGATTTTTTGACGATTATTTTCTTCCCACTGACGTTGTGCCTCCCTCTCACGTTCTTGCCAAAGTTCCTCATTACGCTCACTATAAAAAGTTATATTATAGTTCAAATTGTACCGTTCTTTGGCTTCAAGTGCGGCTAACTCCAACTCCTTAGCCTGTTGTGCTTGATAAGATGGAGAAAGTTGGAGCCGACTTAGCTCTGAAATAACGTAAAGAAATAAAAAACGTAGTATACCTTCAATCTCCCTCTCGATATTTTCCTTGGCTAATTTTTGACGTTTACGCTTTCTTTTTAACTTCTTAAGAAAAGCACGTCGGGCACGATGTCTGATCATAAGCAAACCAATCATGAATCAAGCACATACGACATGTGAGACAGATCCATTATCCGTTAGACATTCATTACTTGCGATTCATTAGGAACGAACCAAACAATTGGATGAATCTAATTCGGAAACCTGTTAAAAATAGAAGTAAATGCGACTATATATATATTGTGCGAAGATTGATAACACTGGCCAGTCAAACAAATGATTGTGAGAAAATTTGGCTTAATGGCTTAGTTTAGTCAGGAAAACTTCATAATAGCAACCTTGCCATTAATAGGCACGTTGATATTTTCTGATCTGAGCTGTTAGAACTGAAATCAATGCATTTTCACCCAAAGGTTCAGATTGTTGTTTCCGGCTACTTTCGACTGAGATTCACTCATTTGATAATTTGTAGCGAATATTCAGACAAAGATGAGGATTGTAGTGTAATAACTAAGGTTTGCAGTAATTCATTAATACGTAGTCTTCAGTGTAAACAGCACTAATCACAGTTTGGCAATTAGTGCACAAATGAATCGCCTAGTCATAATGAGCATACGAGTATAGAACAACAGAAAAAAACAATGTTAGTCGTTCATCTGCCAAAAAACGGTCATCTCTATTATCTATGGTCTACATTGGTAGTTCTCCATTGAGTTGAAAAAAGGAGTGCATTTTTCCACGTTTTGAGATATTCAACTTTCGTTGCGCTAATCATAACAAAAGCTTAAATTAGAACTTATTTTTACTGCCTTGAGAAATATGTGAGTTTGCGAAATACATTTCTACACCCTGATCACTTCGGTTTTTACTAGTTGACGTCTTTTTTATACATATCTGTCTATTCATAATTACCTAGAGTTACGTTCGGTAATATTTTCGACAATGTTGACTTAACTGCCGTTTCGGTACATTTCAGGTTACTCTGGTAATGGTAATTATTTTCCACTTTTCGTTATATTTTTCAAACCTTTTCTCGTCTCATCATACCTGTTAAAATGTTCATTCAAAGCTATCGACTATTGTCTCTTCTCTGTTGAAGATGACGTGCAGTAAAATGTCGTAAAAGATGGTCCCATAAAGTCCGTGCCAATCTATCACCGGCCACGTATAAACTTCGCTCAAAACCACTTTCAACCTGGTTGTGAAAAATGATACCTAACTAAGGTGGTTCTCCTAAATAAATTCATGCAACTTCTCATTTTGATGAAATTTCGAAATGACGATGCCTCCTCGAAGAACCTGACGTTGGACGGGGAGACTATGAGTGTGGTCGCTAACGCCATCAACCCAGCTCTTACTTTAGATAGAATGGTTGAGACTTCCATTGTCAATACGCTTGAAGAGAAAAAACTCCTGTCCATATTATTGTTACGCATAATCGTAAAACGTCTTGCTTTATCAGAACCAAGAATCTACTATCCATCGAAAATGCACTTACTCTAAACACTTTTAATGAGATGAATGCGAATGTATGATGTGCAAAGAGCAAAATCCTTGCACGACAAATTAGGTAGCGTAAATGAATGAATTGGACGGAAAGTTAAAACGACAATAATGACTAAAGAAAACATTCCGTTAGTTAGTGAAAAAGGAAAAATAACGACAGCCGAAAGCCATTAACACGACTTTCAAAGAAGTTATATCTGTCACTAGTTAAATTACTTGGAATATGGAGTCAAATGACAATGATTCTGCTATGTGGCATTCAAAAGATCTGTAGTGAAATCTGATAACCAAAATTTACTGCCGAGCCTTTGGGGTACGTACTCTTTAAGCAACAGAACTCGACAAGTGGGGTGGAGGCGAGACCCGACCGAACAGCATCTTAAAGTTAGTACTCAGAAATAATGAGGAAAGAGACATTATACTAAATAACGACCGACCAATTGTAATTCGAACATCTACGTCCAGTCAGATTACTCACTAAGATTGAATCAAATGGAGGAATGATCTTACTGAGTTAAAATCTCGAACGCCAAATGGACAAACCAACATTGGAATTTAGAGTTTACGGGTAGTGAAGTCTTAGGAGCCAATGATCTCGAGAGACCTCCCCCCCTTAGACACTAAGCTACACAAACGCTCGTCGTCTTGGAAATAAAACGTTCGAGCTAAGTTTGATGGTGGGAAAGTCAATTACCAGCACAGATATTGTCACAGAAACATGGCTCACAACAGATGTAGAGTATTCGCAAATTATTGCAGGACAAGTCCGTACAACAAGTGGCAGGGTTATAAATCGTAAGAGAGAGGGTACAATATTGTTCTGGAGACTACCTGTCGCGTACAATAAAGTGTAAACCATAGTTCAACTTGGCATGCTGACGACTTTGTTGGAAGTCTCACCTTCGTGGAATTCAAAGCACCATGCAGAAATTGTTTAGAGTTTATAACATCAGATGGATGTTTAGATGGCAGCCTACTGTTAACAAATATGTAATGGTTACTTGCACAATGTATTGCAAAACCGACACATTTCGACTTATAACATGGACCATCATCGTAAAACTTTGTTCTCATACACCATTATGACGACGCTACCAACAATCAGTACCTACATCCACCGACTAGCAATGATAATCCAGTATTACTTTAGGTTTCGGACACGTAATACATAGCATACACCCGCTCAATACTGTCCCAATATTTGAGAAGCTAACATTCCAGCGGTCAGAGATGACGACGTTGCAAAAATTTTCCTAGCAGCGTAAATGAGTTGACTAAAGACGAATGGAGTAAGTTTAAAGCCATGTTTGATGTAGTAACAACCCCGTTCATCCCATATGGGATGAACAAAGCTCTCTATCATTCGATGGAGAAACCCGAAAGCGAACGAGAGGTAGAGAGTGTTTTTGAGACATTTTCCAGACAACGGGTTATGAAGCATTCAATTGTGAGTACCGAAAGGTCAGAAATATGTGGCTGATTCGCACAACAGCGTGCAAGGTAAAGAAAACTATGGGCGTCCAGCGTCAGAATTTAAGTTTGACGTCTTTTTGACGGGGAAACATAATCTCACCAAAAACAAGTAACCACACGAAAAACAAACGTCCAATACTTGAAAACTAGTTTAGTTACGCACAATTTTGAAAGTGAAACATGAATCTTTGAGTTCCAATATCCAGTAATTTGTGACAAACCTGTACAAACTAATTATTTTATTCTCAACAATGTTTCATATCTTTGATAATGTTCAATGGACGATAGTATAGCTACTGGACTTCACTAGTTGTGGTTACAGTGTCAGTTATTTCTATGTTTTTTTTATCTTGTAGTCAGCGTGAGTGCATATATCTCAGGACGGTAGGGTTACTAGAACCAGTCTCTATTACATTATCAAGTAGGAAGTTGGATAGTTTTATCCGTCCTTATTTAGAGTACGGAAACATAGTATTTCCTCCCTCACTCCAAAAGGATAAGGTCACTCTGTAGCGTATCCAAAGGCGAGCCACGAAATCGACTCGAGGACTCAAATTTAGACCTTAAGAAGAGCGCCTCCATTCACTTAACTTTTACCCATTAGATTATAGACATCTTAGAGGTGATTTTCTGATGGCTTACAGTATCCTTAACACTTCTGGACATCCTCTCGAACACCTACTTAAGCTTAGTTCCAACACTAACCTAAGGGGTAACACCCAAAAACTGGAGACACAACATAGCAGAACGGACTGTAGATACAACTTCTACTCCCTAAGAGTTGTCAAATGCTGGAATTCGCTGCCGGCCGAGCTAGTCCAAGCGACTTCCAAGGAGTCCTTTAAGAGGCAACTTGATCTATTCTTAAGGACTAAGGATGGTATCACACTATGACTTACTAATTTCTTTTCCTCTTTTATTGTTAACATACCTAGGTTCCTGCCTGGAGGTCTTGGTGATCCCCTGCTACTAGACACGGAAGCCTGTTAAGCGAAAGCTTTTTCTGTTCCGTTCACAACCATTTGAATTTTACAATAATAAACACAAAATTCAAATATGTAAGCGAAGACTGCCATAGATTAAAGCGACGAGGTTAATTAATTGGTCATTCAGGCAAGATGAGCAGATCGAAGTGTAAGGACCAAAGGGATAACAGAGATTATAATAAGACGGCTGGAAATAGATTTTTGGTGTGTCATAAAGATAATAGTAGGTATGTTGCGAGATGTGCACCAGGTACATTTCGTTCAAACGCTAGATAGTAAGTAACTCATTGATGAGTACGTGGTTATCGAATTTGTTCTTGAAGCTATGGACTGAACAGGATATGGTCACTTTGTCTATGCGAACATGACATTCTGTGATATCAGCCTTCTGCAATAAGAACAAGTGATCGGCTGAATTGTGAAGATCCACTTTCCTCTTAAAGCTGTTCACCGATAGGTCTGACATTAATCTGCGGAATAACGCTTTCCATTCTTTAGCTTTTTCATGAGAAGAACGAACCCTTACCTTTATTCTGTTCAGACAAGGTGTCTGAAACATTTATATTGACCTCACAGTTAAAAGTGGGATTACATACATATTATATACATTTATTAACGAACTATTTGGTAGCAAGTGAAAGATTAAAATCCAAGATCACAGACAAAATGAATGTTTCTAATCTTACGCGAACCAAATTATGTGGTGAATCTACAAAAATAGTAACATTACAATCAAGTGAAAACAACTAGTTGTCTTCACACAGAACCCAACACGGGAGATTTTTACAAGCATAAATACGAACATGGGAAAATAATATTACAGTGTCCTCCAAAATACCTACACAGAACACGTTAACATTTTATTTATCATTTATTACGACCAAGTCACTTCACTGACAGAATTCAGTGGACACATCGGGACTCAAAAAGTAGATTTACACTCCATATTACACCAATGTACTACGAAGGAGTCAGGCATACTACAGACTTAAATTCACGTTTATACAAGTCGGAATGTCTTTCAAATTATTATGTTGCTAACTATTGATTTCATAGCAAACTGTAATAAGTTGTGCTGCGGAAAAAACCCACACCCAAAACTATTTATCACCACCATCTCTCTTTACATATTAGTGCTTTCTTCATTCTTTTCTAATAACAAGTAATAATTGACCAATTAACGTTCGTCTGCCTATCGTTTAAGCGTGAAACCCATCTTAAACACCAAGCTGCTTTGCTGAATATGTCTTCATAGTTCATCTATTTATAACATTCGTACTTTACCACATGCTTCCAGGTTCATACTTTTCCTCAGCACGTTATACCAGATCTCATTCCCACAGAAATCGGTCATTTGAACTCTAACAGGCAATTAGCCGTACTAAGCAGGTAGGTTAAAACCACTAATTTATATACGTATTGCTATCTTATCACATTTACGCTGTGGCTTTTAATCATAGTACTTTATTGAATTTAACGGTTCGGTTAATGTATATCTGAGTTCGGCTTGGGTTTCAATTAGAATACCAAGAGCTTAAGACATATCTATTATATGGGTATGATAAAAAAAAAGTGGTTGTCGTTTAATTAGCCTACGAAAGTTCTGAATTAAAATCACTGTCAATGACGTCATTGCGCACGTTAAGCTCAGTAATCAAACAATCTTTCCAAAGTATATCTTCAAAAACAGCGTGTGAATTTTATGAACCATGTCAATGTACTCTACTACTTACCCGAAGATCGGGGTTTTTAAGCAGGGCAATCGTCTATCCCCTTGCTGAGATATTGATCTGTGTTATGACCAACAACAGAATATATTCCCATTATTCTTAACCCCAATGATACCAACTGGGTAACCATATCATCAAATGATCTGAGGAACTAACAAAAACACTTTAATGTTCATATCACTCAGTAATTTAAGCATATAATAATTGATAGCAAGTTTGACTTCTAACAAACATATTTTCTCATCAACAACAGTTGCTGAAACAATACTCTACAATGATCAACTCTAACTTTGTTAGTTGTCTTGCTTTTTCCCTGGTCATGCAGATTGCAAACATTGGGAAATTGACCGACTGGTTAGTTATACTAAACTTCATGATGAATAAGTGACTCTTACCAAGGCCTTCTGTGTTGGGCAGTAAATCCATTATTTTGACATCATACATGTAAACGATATTAATATTGGTTTCAGAATATAGTTTGTGGTCAATGTCCATACTGGCCTTTGATGATGACTCTCCATCATCCTTTTCACTTTAGGCAACAATTTTAGTCACATTAGGTGCCGACTCAAACTGGACCCCTTGAAAATTTTTCAGGTCGTTTAATTTATAACGAATGTGCCTAATTAACAACGGACTTACCTATCACAAGATTTTTAGGCTCCTGCTCCCTATCAGTCAATCGGTTTACATCTAATAACCGGTTCAACAGAAACATTTACAAGTTGTGGCTGGGGGTTTGGAATGAAATTACAAGACTTCGGAAATTTACGGAGGCTTTCGGTCTTCCAGCTACACTATCTTTATTCACTCAATAATTGACGGCAGCGTTTCTACTGTTGGAATGAATTTATTTATCAATTAGTTCACTAGTTCGATTGAGCGAAGTAGTCAAATTATCTGGGTTATTTCTAAGTGTCTGGTTCGGGCTCTTTTCGTGATCGCACATGTTTCCCTAATCATCAGCGTCATCGGCAAGCTCATCTTCTATTCTAACAGATAAGGAACTTAATCTTGACAATTTCTTGCGGCGTTCAGTTTGTTTTCTAATGTTCTCATATTTTTTTCTCGACCTTTGTTACTTCTAATGCGTAAATAAATGCAGGAAAAATGATCTTTTTAACTGAAACGAATGAACTGCGATTAGACCGACTGAAACAATCAAGACTACTACTCTTAAAAAGGTTGCCAATCTTGAAGCCATGACATAAAAATGTAAAGATCTATCATGAGGCGCTCGTTTTGTGACTAGGAGAATTCCTCAGGGTAATCTCCTTCATTAACTAATTTAACTCGGAGTAGCCTCTCTTTTCTTGATGGACGCACCCAACGGAAAGTTATTCAATTAGACGAAGCATAATGTCTGGCGATTCTAATCCAAGTAAAATGTTTGTTAATTTCATAATCATTTTGTGCTTATCAATTAGATAGTTCACTAGAATAACAATCCGAAAGTTTGATCAGTACTCACAGAGGATATGAATATATTCAGTGATTCTACGCAATCCAAATCCAGAATAAAGATATTCAGTACAACAAGAGTATACAAACGAAATGTCACGGAGGCTTCATCACTTAAAGATGATTGGAGTAATTTCGCTTATAGAAGCGCTCACATAGTTGATTTGGCAAGTCACGGTCACACCTTTCATGGTACGCCAAACATTTTTAATTCGGGGGGAATATAATGGTCTAGAGTACTTTTATATTGTAGCTTATAAACGTATACAAAAAATAGTCAGTCCCTAACTTTAATCTGAAGTAAACGATAGATAAAGTCAGTATTCGTAACAAATTTCCTTTTTCGAGGCTATCACATATGCATCCTGATGATATGATATTGCTACTGTAGTACCGTAAACAATGATAAACAGTAGTTGAAATAGCCATAGTGTATCTCCAGAAAGGAAGATTATGTTCAGTGAAGAAATTTTATAATAAATAAACTAATGAAGTCACCATAAGACATTAATACAGATATATCTTTGGGATGTAGCTTAGTGATCTTATCTATAATCAGTTGTCTTATTGTGTGAAGTTATGACGTTCAAATAAACCCATTCCTATGATTCCCATAGGTATAGTCGATAAGCCACTATAATGAATCAGATTGCACGTGCATACATAAAATATCTGACTAGAGACGAAAGGTAAAACGGTTGCTCAAAACCACAAATTATCAACACGAAATAAATGATGACCACTCATCGTGAAATACTCACGTTATTACGTTGAAATTATTCTACTGTGTGGTACAGTACTCTTTATACTTAATGCTCGTTTGATCCTGAGTGTGAGAAAGTGATCCGCCCGAACATTCATTCTTCTATGGCCCTAACGTTTAATTGTCATAAACGATAATTTGGTTGTTAGTACGTCCTTCTGATATTTCGTATCTTTATTTCGATCATCCATCAATGTCATCTTCACTTTTTAAGTTTGTTCTTCGTCTTCCCATACTCATCAA